AGGCACCCGAACACCGTTCGTAAAGAGATTCCTGATTGGTCGATTTACAACCGGTTTTTATAAACGACCTACGATTGGTGTAATTAAAAGGCGTGAACGAAAATGAAACGAAAACAAAAACCTTGTAACAAGATGCTTTATAAATATTGAATGGAAATACAACTTATTCAAAGAAGAACATTGTTTATTTTCACATTTTCACAATGTTAAAATAAAAAAAAACACGCCGATAACAATGTACAGCCACTGACCCACGTGTTCGCAAGGACATCGATCCCACGTTTGTTTCAGACTCTGACTGATTACATAGATTATCAACTAGATGGACATTTTCGTTTATAACAATGTGGACTTTGTAATAGAAATTAAATAAATTGGTGTCATGATCTACTTTTCTTTTTATCTGTAAAGCTTTGGAAGGCAACACTGTCAAATTTGGGGAAAGGGGGGGGGGGGGGGGGGGGGGGGGGGGGGTCATTGAGTCAAAACAACCAAAGGCCACTCTAAGGTCTTCTGACTTCAATGCACAATACAACAATTTCTGGATCAAATGCAAATATAAATGTGATCAAATTTACAGAAATTTCAACCATGCTACAAATTTTAATCAAACATTTACATTATCTTCATTAAAAAATTATGTTTTGAAAGGACTGAATAAGGGTCCAGGAGACTCCCAGAATGCAGGATTTTGCACGATTTAAAAAAAAAATTCTGGGGCCCTTCAGCCCCCCAGACCCGCGGCCGTTTGGGGCGCCGAGCAAGCTCAAAACAACCAAAGGCCACTCTAAGGTCTTCTGACTTCAATGCACAATACAACAATGTCTGGATCAAATGCAAATATAAATGTGATCAAATTTACAGAAATTTCAACCATGCTACAAATTTTAATCAAACATTTACATTATCTTCATTAAAAAATTATGTTTTGAAAGGACTGAATAAGGGTCCAGGAGACTCCCAGAATGCAGGATTTTGCACGATTTAAAAAAAAAATTCTGGGGCCCTTCAGCCCCCCAGACCCGCGGCCGTTTGGGGCGCCGAGCAAGCTCAAAACAACCAAAGGCCACTCTAAGGTCTTCTGACTTCAATGCACAATACAACAATGTCTGGATCAAATGCAAATATAAATGTGATCAAATTTACAGAAATTTCAACCATGCTACAAATTTTAATCAAACATTTACATTATCTTCATTAAAAAATTATGTTTTGAAAGGACTGAATAAGGGTCCAGGAGACTCCCAGAATGCAGTATTTTGCACGATTTAAAAAAAAAATTCTGGAGCCCTTCAGCCCCCCAGACCCGCGGCCGTTTGGGGCGCCGAGCAAGCTCGTCGCCGCGGCCGGCTGCGCCGTCCGCATTAAGTGGACTCCTACTTTTTTGCTATATCCTCCTACTTCAAAACTTATTGAAAGCCCTGTGACTGTGCTAGTTATTTACGCGGAGACAGATTCACCGTAGAATGTGACTATCAGGCGTTGCGATCGTTATTTCAAAATCAGTTTAAAGGAGCAATTTACGACCGATGGTTAGCTGTGTTACAACAATTTAATTTTGATATCCAATACAAGCCTGCCGCCGATATGCAAGTTCCCGATGCACTTTCAAGAGTCGAAAATGCGCCACTACTGGACGTAAATGCGGAAGAATCACTTAATGAAAATGAACCCCATTTTCCGTATGAAGTCGAAGAAGTTGGAAAAATTTCATTTGTTAATTTTGCAAAACTCAGTACTGACGAAATCGAAACGGGTTATACAGCCGATACCGAGGAGGAGTCGAGTAAATTGACATTCAAACAAGAAAGTATTGATGGACATTCGTCTTTACCGTGCAATTCAGTGACTTTAGCCGATAGTGGGATTACTTCGATTTACCATGATGATAACCGAACTACTTATGAAAACGATTCACTTTTTATCGATAGTTCATGTGACGTAGATAGTTCCGAAAACAATTCGTTTTTACAGAGGCACCCGACGGATTTATTCGATGTATGTGGAAATGAATGCGTTTCTGACTGTGCTTGTGATACTTTGTTTGTAAATAAATATGAAAATGAGACTGATAACTTACGCATTGATGATTTAACTCATATTTTACAAAGGCATCCTATTGATTTTATTGATTCGTATGGACCTGAATGTGATCAAACTGGTGATGGTTTATATTTACATGTCCATAACTCTGGATTTGATACTGAATTCACAAAAGTACAGGATATAAAATTTGTTGGCACAGCTGATAAGTCACGTGATCAGCCAATTGATTTTAAAAGAGAAAATATTAAACATTTACAAAGACTAGACGAAACATTACTTCCAGTTATTCTTTACTTAGAAAATGGAACATTACCGAAACTTCAGAAGGAAGCTCGTCGTTTGTTATTAAAAGCACCTGATTACAGCATGATCGATGACTTGTTATTTCACTCGCGGGTTGCAAAGTCGAAACGCACCCAAAGAATGGGAGAATTTCAGTAAGTTATTCCTAAACAATTGATACCTAAAATTTTAGAAACTTACCACCAAACACCTTTAGCGGGCCATATGGGTATACAACAAACAGTGGACAATATTTCAGAACAATTTTATTTTCAAAACTTGCCATCAACAGTGTCAAGTTATGTTCGTTCTTGTCACGACTGTCAGGAACGAAAGATGACAAAAGCTCATACGAAGTCCGAAATAATTTCTTTTCGAACGCCTACAGAACCATTTCAAACTTGGCAGGTAGACTTGTTTGGACCATTGCCAATAACACAAAAAGGGAACGCATATGTTTTCACAGCAGTTGATATGTTTTCCAAACTATTATTTTGTGTTCCGTTAATCAGTTCAGACTCAGTTACAGTGTCACATGCACTTTTTCAATTAGTATGTTCTTTTGGCGTGTGTGATTGCGTTATAAGTGACAAAGGTAGTGAATTTATTTCACAATGCACTGATCAGCTTTGCAAAATTTTAGAAGTACATCAAAACTTTACCCCAAGTTTTATACACCATTGCCTGGGATTGTGCGAATGTACACATAGGACTGTTGCAGAACGTTTAACACCTTATACTAAAAAGGGAATACAGTGGGACAACATGTTACCTGCAATAACATTTTCGTTTAATATCTCGCCAAGTGACTCAACTAAATATTCGCCGTACGAAGTGGTTTACGGATTTCGTCCGAAATTTCCTCTCTCCGTTTCGAAACTTGGAATAGACCTTAATTCGCTTCATAGTGATTATCATAGATATATGAACCAACAAATAGACAAACTGAAACTAATCCGAGAAGAAGCAGTTGTTAATGCACAAAAAGCAAGTGAAATTATGAAGGAACGCGAAAATAAAAAGACAAATCCGCTTAAACTTAACATTGGTGATTTTGTATATATGTTGAAAGAAGTAGTTGGACCAGGAAAAAAGCTTCAACCAAAATACGCGGGACCATATGTTGTTCATGAAATTTTATCGCCACATTTAGTTAAACTCCGAGAAAAGGACAGTGGTAAATTGTTTAAGAATCCAGTGCATTTGGGCCGTCTTAAAATAGCGTTCGTTCGCGCTCCGAATCCAACCAATTATTTTATTCCAATATCAGTGAAAAATGAACAAACTTTGAATGAAATAGAAAAAGGAGCTATCACTAATTCTGAACCTACTAGTAATGTGGTCTCTGACGAACCAAATAGTGAACCCTCAGTTAACAATAATTTACGCACAAGACCCGTGAGACAAATTCGTAAGCCAGTGCGGTATCGATCAGAACTAGACAATATAAGTGAAAGTACAGTAGCCGATACTTCATCATCTGAACAGACTGACAATACTTTTTACAAAGTCAAACGCATTTTGGCTCAACGAAAACGGAACGAGTGTTATGAATATTTAGTGCAATATAAAGGTGAACCTGCACAAAATGCGATCTGGACCGTAGAGAACCAGTTAAATGAAGCCGCAAAATAATCTATAATAAAAAGACCACCTCCAGTTATAGAATAAGACGTAAAGAGTGATGTTACATTCTTTTCATGGACTTTAAATACCATTTGAAATTACTTCGTTAATTGATATGTTGACATTTTAATAGACATGATTGCATTTCCATATTATAGACTATAGTTATTAATTTGACAAGTTTTTATACGACCGCAAAAAAATTTTGTGGTCGTATATTGGTATGACGTTGGCGTCGTCGTCGTCGTTGTCCGGCGTCGTCGTCCGAAGACACATTGGTTTTCGCACTCTAACTTTAGTTTAAGTGAATGGATCTTTTTGAAATTTTACCATAAGGTTAAATACCACAAAAGGAAGGTTGGGATTGATTTTGGGGGTCATGGTACCAACAGTTAAGGAATTAGGGGCCAAAAAGGGGCCAAAAATAAGCATTTTCTAGTTTCCAGACAATAACTGTGGAACGGTGTATGGATCTCTCTGAAATTATACTACAAGTTTCCATACCACAAAGGGATGGTTAGGATTTGCTTTGGTGGGTTATGGCTCAAACCGTTTAGGAATTAGGGGCAAAAAAGGGGGAAAAACAAGGTTGTCCTCATTAATGGACAAATACTTTAGTACAAAACATAATTTAAAGCAGTGTAAGGGAGATAAATCAAATACATCATTGAAATTATCTCCCTTACACTGCTTTTAAATTATGTATAAAGTAATGGTTAATGAACAATAAAGATAATTTAAAACAGTGTAAGGGAGGTAATCCAAATACAACGTTTTGGTTACTTCCCTTACACTGCTTTTAAATTATGTTTAAAGAAATGCATATTTATAAAGGAAGACCAGTAAAAATATCTGCAAATGTTGCATCATTTTTTTTTACAAAAAAATCCATATGAAAGATTTGACACTATATTTTTAATTCTATTATAAAATAGATTAAGTTAGCACTATGGTAGATTTAAATGGGTAATTATGATTGCCAACTCCATTGGAAATTTGAATTGAGATTATGACCATATCTTGAGGGAAAGAATTTTTTGGGGGAAAAAAGGGGGGGGGGGGGTAAAAAGAAATTGTGGGGGGTCAATTTTTTCTCATTTCAGATTTCAGAAATTAAAAAGAATTATTCTTCAAATATTATTTTTTTTTCAAATTTCAAATGTTGAAAAATTTCAAGAAGTAATCTTTAATTGCACAGTATGGCGCATTAGATTTGTAAAATCTTTGATCACATTTATTTATTTGTAATGCCGAATCTAACAGTGTATTTAGATTTTTAATTTTGGGTCCAGTTTTTAAATTAGTCTACATTAAGGTCCAAAGGGTCCAAAATTAAACTTTGTTTGATTTTAGCAAAAATTGAATATATGAGGTTCTTTGATATGCTGAATCTAAACATGTATTTAGATTTTTGGCCCAGTTTTCAAGTTGGTCCAAATTGGGGTCCAAAATTAAACTTTGTTTGATTTCAACAAAAATTGAAAATATGGGGTTCTTTGATATGCTGAATCTAACCATGTATTTAGATTTTTTATTTGTGGACCCCGTTATCAAATTGGTTCATATTGAGGTCAAAAGGGTCCAAAATTAAACTTTGTTTGATTTCATCTAAAATTGAATTATTGGGGCTCTTTGATATTCCAAATCTAACCGTGTATTTAGATTTTTAATTTTGGGTCCTGTTTTTTAAATTGGTCTACATTAAGGTCCAAAGGGTCCAAAATTAAACTTAGTTTGATTTTAACAAAAATTGAATTCTTGGGGTTCTTTGATATGCTGAATCTAAACATGTGTTTAGATTTTTAATTATGGGCCCAGTTTTCAAGTTGGTCCAAGATAGGGTCCAGTATTTAAACTTTGTTTGATTTCAACAAAAATTGAATATATGAGGTTCTTTGATATGCTGAATCTAACCATGTATTTAGATTTTTTATTTGTAGGCCCCGCTATCAAATTGGTTCATATTGAGGTCAAAAGGGTCCAAAATTAAACTTTGTTTGATTTCATCAAAAATTGAATTATTGGGGTTCTTTGATATGCCAAATCTAACCGTGTTTTTAGATGTTTAATTTGGGTCCCGTTTTTTAAATTGGTCTTCATTGAGGTCCAAAGGGTCCAAAATTAAACTTAGTTTGATTTTAACAAAAAATGAATTCTTGGGGTTCTTTGATATGCTGAATCTAAACATGTGTTTAGATTTTTGATTATGGGCCCAGTTTTCAAGTTGGGTCCAAGTCGGGGTCCAAAATTAAACTTTTTTCGATTTCAACAAAAATTGAATATATGGGGTTCTTTGATATGCTGAATCTAACCATGAATTTAGATTTTTTATTTGTGAGCCCCGCTATCAAATTGGTTCATATTGAGGTCAAAAGGGTCCAAAATTAAACTTTGTTTGATTTCATCAAAAATTGAATTATTGGGGTTCTTTGATATTCCAAATCTAACCGTGTATTTAGATTTTTAATTTCAAGTCCCGTTTTTTAAATTGGTCTACATTAAGGTCCAAAGGGTCCAAAATTAAACTTAGTTTGATTTTAACAAAAATTGAATTCTTGGGGTTCTTTGATATGCTGAATCTAAACATGTGTTTAGATTTTTGATTATGGGACCAGTTTTCAAGTTTGTCCAAGTTGGGGTCCAAAATTAAACTTTGTTTGATTTTAACAAAAATTGAATATATGGGGTTCTTTGATATGCTGAATCTAACCATGTATTTTGATTTTAGACATTGGACCATAATAGGTAAATTAAAAAAAATCAAGTTCTTAGACCACATTCTTTCTGTGTCAGAAACCTATGCTGTGTCAAATATTTAATAACAATCCAAATTCTGAGCTGTATCAAGCTTGAATGTTGTGTCCATACTTGCCCCAACTGTTCAGGGTTCGACCTCTGCGGTCGTATCAAGCTGCGCCCCAGCGAAGCATTTTATTGTAGTTAGTTTTGTGTTTTAGCATTAGTTAAATTTTTCTTAGTCGTTAATTTGCTTTTTAGTAAAGTAGCTAGTTATAATTAAAAGAAAAAAAAAACAAAAACAAAAAAGATAACAATAGAAAAATATAAAGTCTGAAGTTTTTTTTTTACTGTGTATTTGTTATGAAGTTGTGTACACATGATATTATATCTTTGATTATTAATGACTGTTTTACACATGTAGAATTATGACAAATTTCCCTTGAGATAACGAATTTACGGTTCAATGAGATGAAAACAAATGGTACACATTGTTATCGGATGTCATAAAATATTTTGAGAGGTCAATGAACTATGTGGTTAATTCCGGTTTCAAGTGTAAACCAAAAAATGGAATACCTATTTATAAACAGTACTCTCGTAAAATCATCCGTATTTTTATGAATTTTCATTAATACGGATGAAAAAATGCTTAGTTTGCAGTGTTGTTCATTTTCTAAGGGTATACATACATGTTACAGTGTTATTCACATTGTTGATAAATATTTACTGTGAGTCTAAATATACCACGTAAATGATATTATAGCATTGAGTTTGAGTCTTCGAAAGTAGTAGTATTTGATGATGATTGATCTGTTTGAATAATGTTTTTCAATGTTATGAAATCTTACTGACCATCTGAAACAAAATGGATTTGTTTTTTGTTGGGCGGGGATGTTAGAATGTAGATTGCCATGGTCAGTGAGTTTTCATAGAGTTATCGTTCTTTGTATAGTTTCTTCAATATTATGTTCCGTATATTGTTTTGTAATTAGAATTTAGAGATTAAAATAGAATGTTGATGAGAAACGTTTGTTTTTATATGTGCCTCAGCCTACCCAGAAAATGTGAGCTAGCTTCCCTAGACTATTAAAACGTTAAGCACAATACATTAAAATGATAACCTCAACATATTAAAATGTTAAGCCCAATATACAGATATATTGAAATGTTAGGCACAGTATATTAAAATGTTAAGCACAATATATTCAAATGATAACCACAATATATTAAAATGTAAGGCACAATTTACGTTCAAGTTGAAGATTTCGAAGGGGCTCTGGCCTGTATTTATAGTTATGGTAAAAGCTACATTCACTTTCAGGAACCGACTCGGAGGGAATATTCAAGTTTGTTTGAACGGTAGAAAAGTATATTGCGGTGTTCGTATAAAATATCTTACTAGATTGCATTCTCACAATATAAACTGTTAAAACCTATTTATAAAATTACATGAAAAGCACCAATGTTACTGAAATAGATACGCATTTCAATAATGTATGCCTTCAGGGATGCTCAGGGCCAATATATTTCAAAATCCAAAATTTATTACAAACGTAGAATATGCTTTTTTATCTTACCTCCTACACATTTCTAGGAATATGATTGGTTAAAAACAACCGCGTGGAGACCGTGTATATTCCATATTAGGTTAGTAGGCGGTGCTTATTTCAATACACGGTTAGTAGTGGTGTTACGTACGTCCCTTCATAAAATCAATACAGTGTTGAGGAAAAATCTTAAAGATTTCAACAGACGAACAAATTGATGATGGACGATTGAAATAAATTCATAAAAAAACATTTAAAGTTAACAAGTTGTTATTATTGGCATTTGTTTTTGTATAGACCAACGGAAGTAGGTTCTTAATACTAACGGTATAATATTGAAGACTTGATCACTGCATAGATGTATAAACCTATGGGTTTATACATCTAGGATCACTGATAGGCCAATAGTCTAAATACCACATGTTAAGATAGTCGGTAAGATAAATTCGTTACATAGTGTGCTAGTGACCTAATACGATATATATGGGGTCAGTAAATTGCATATGGGGATTCGAGCTTCGCTCTCACCCCATATGGAATTTACTGAAAGTCAATTTCCTGCTTATTGACAATGACCTCATATCAAAAGCATCTAGGTCAGTTTCAAACAAAAAAGAGGAAATAATTTTTAATACATGTGTCGTAATTTCTGCTTCTTGCTATGTTTTTGTATAGTTTTAAAGCCAGCAAATACGAATAGACTCACAAAACTTGTGACTAGACTAAGGGATAAATAAATACGGCCGTCAAATCTGTTGTCTGTTCTCTCTCATCATTTAGGCTAGTGACTTTAACCATAAAATTAAATTTTTAATGCAACCACCTAACACACGGCTAAATTATATATCATTTGAAAGCTACACATCTGTACTATCTGTTTTGCCCGTTCGTAAAAAAATCGTACGGTGCAATTTCCGTCAAATCAAGATCAAAGGCCAAGGACGAATAAGTGCATAATTTCTAAGATTTCAGCTTGATTGCACAATATGACTTTTATATACTAAATTCAAATATGCAAACCATTTAAACTTTTAGCAGAGAGATTAACGGTCATTAATCAAATGCATTTTAAAATATTTAAAACATGTTTTTGATAGACCGCACATGTTTCCTGAAATTCGAGTAAAAGTTAACAAAATGTGTGAAAACCCAAATTTTTCTTTCTGATGCAACTGCTTATCACTTAAAACTAGGTAAAACCTTGTAATAACTATCAAAGAAGTTTTTGACATCATAATTTTCCTAAAATCATGCTTACTTCTAATCAAACAGCAAATCATAACAACTCATGCAGTTGCCCAAAATACCGCCATCTGCGAAAAAACAGCTTTTAAGCATTTCTTCCTATTTAAACATCGTGTGACGTTACGCACGATATTGCGTCTCAATTGGTAACGTCAAAATTTGACGTTTTACGCCGGTAATCGAGGATACTTTGTTCGTTTTGTCGGTTATCTTTTTTGATCGATATGGATAGTTCTAACCTCGAGGTGAATATGCATGAAATATTTCCTACTGGAAGTTACGCAAGCAAAAAAAAAACAAAAAAAACAGAACAAAATATTTATTTGGGTGAGATAATAGTGCCTATAGAATGTAATATAATGCATTTTTCCCCCATTTAAATCTGACCTGAGAGGGGGGAGTTGATGAAAAGTGAAAGGGTCTTACTAAAAAAGTTAAATATGGAAAAAAAATATTCAACACTTACTACTATTTTTCATAAATGAACAATTCGATTAAGAAAGAAAATGATTGCGTGAAAAAAATTATTATATTCATCTGATATGTTTACAAGCTTTGTATAATATCGAGGTGTAACTCTTCAGGTACAACAATTTTACTGTCACTTTCAAGTTCAGCACAAATGAATCGTATTGCAGAGGAATAGCAAATCGCAGTTTTACGCTTCACAAGTTTGAAAATTAACGGTTGATTTTTTATCCTCTCGTAATACAGCCCTTTCACAACTTTAGAACCTCGGTTAAACGAACAACCCCAGTCATCTGAAATATTTTTTTTTATAATGTGAGGTCTTTTTGACACTTTTAAAAGATTATACTCATAATCAATATCGTCTGCCAAAACCGCAATTATCATGTCCTTTTCAACAATGTATTCAATTATATATATTATCATTTGTATTGCAATGGTCATCATTTTTTTCGGAATTCGAGTTATCATTTTGAATCATTTTCACTCTTTTGGAATTTCCTATAAATTCTGTTTTCTCACACTCGTTTATTGCTCCATTTAACAGTTATCACAATTATAACACGATAAGTCGCGGACAAGAAGATCTGTAGAATAATTTGTTGATATGATTTGGTGTATCTTGCGATTTTGATCCACGGGTTTAAAGTTTATATTATGGAGACGAGGAATTTCAGCAATGTATTTGAATAGCCGTTTTTTATATATTCCACTCTGTGGATTCTAGAGATTTTTCTGAGCAAAATCATAAAGGTCACGCGCCGTCTGAATTTTAGTTTTACCCCGGAGCACGGCGGAGTCCGCTTGATTCTTTAGAAAACCACCGGCAGCATCGTGACCACGCTGAAGTACGTCCATTATTCATTTTTCATTATTCAAAATTCAATTATGAATAATGAAATAGTTCACTATTCACTATTCAATGTTAAGTGATGAATAATGAATAATGAAATAGATTATGTTTCATTATTTAAGTTGGAGCGGTGAATAGTGAAATAAAATTAAAAAAATTGACTGTGACACTATAGCTATATCCCGTATTTATACATTAGTCTTTTTGGTGTTATCTAACAAATATTCAAATTGATATAAGAAAAAATAAATAAAAACACTCTTTAAATTTTAATTTGATTTATTTATCTGGTTCCTAGTTTCGGAGGATAAACTAGTGGGTTTTCCTAACTATTTTTAACAGAAATTCCTTGGTTCAATGTATGGACGACCTGAATACCAAAACATATATATATATATAAATTAAAATACTCTATGTGGTCTTTTATTATTTTCACTGGACCTTTGCTATTCTTCATCCTCTAAGTATAGATATAACAGGTCGATTATTCAGCATTGACCATTAAAGGGGTTACGGAGGAACTAAATGCCAAAATACGCGTGAAAATTAATAAATAGCCAATTTTGAATAATGAAATGGATATTTTGAATAATGGAATGGACTGCTGCGACCCTTTAGCCCCTAATTATAGATATACCTTATACCTCATTCGAAAGCTTATTAAGAGAGAAACAAAAGGTATATAGTCAATATGTTCCGCAACGCATATTAGAGGAGTAACGAAGGACCTAAATATCGAAATACGCGTGAACATTAAGAAATAGCTTATTTTGAATAATGGAATGGACTGCTGCAACCCGTCAGTCTTTAATCAAGGAAAAATGTATACACCAAATCAAAGCTTATTGATAGAGGAATAAACTGTGTATAAACGATATGTGCCGCAATGGCAATTAGAGGGGTTACGGAGGACCTAAATGCCAAAATACGCGTGAAAATTAAGAAATAGCCAATTTTGAATTACGAAATGGATATTTTGAATAATGGAATGGACTGCTGCGACCCTTTAGCCCCTAATTATAGATATACCTTATACCTCATTCGAAAGCTTATTAAGAGAGAAACAAAAGGTATATAGTCAATATGTTCCGCAACGCATATTAGAGGAGTAACGAAGGACCTAAATATCGATA